ACTCTATTATTCCGTTTGGAATTGATAAAACAAAACACACTTGAGGCCCACCCGGGATTATAGAGTTAAACTCTATTATTCCGTTTGGAATTGATAAAACAAAACACACTTGAGGCCCACCCGGGATTACAGAGTTAAACTCTATTATTCCGTTTGGAATTGATAAAACAAAACACACTTGAGGCCCACCCGGGATTATAGAGTTAAACTCTATTATTCCGTTTGGAATTGATAAAACAAAACACACTTGAGGCCCGCCCGGGATTATAGAGTTAAACTCTATTATTCCGTTTGGAATTGATAAAACAAAACACACTTGAGGCCCACCCGGGATTATAGAGTTAAACTCTATTATTCCGTTTGGAATTGATAAAACAAAACACACTTGAGGCCCACCCGGGATTATAGAGTTAAACTCTATTATTCCGTTTGGAATTGATAAAACAAAACACACTTGAGGCCCACCCGGGATTATAGAGTTAAACTCTATTATTCCGTTTGGAATTGATAAAACAAAACACACTTGAGGCCCACCCGGGATTATAGAGTTAAACTCTATTATTCCGTTTGGAATTGATAAAACAAAACACACTTGAGGCCCACCCGGGATTATAGAGTTAAACTCTATTATTCCGTTTGGAATTGATAAAACAAAACACACTTGAGGCCCACCCGGGATTATAGAGTTAAACTCTATTATTCCGTTTGGAATTGATAAAACAAAACACACTTGAGGCCCACCCGGGATTATAGAGTTAAACTCTATTATTCCGTTTGGAATTGATAAAACAAAACACACTTGAGGCCCACCCGGGATTATAGAGTTAAACTCTATTATTCCGTTTGGAATTGATAAAACAAAACACACTTGAGGCCCACCCGGGATTATAGAGTTAAACTCTATTATTCCGTTTGGAATTGATAAAACAAAACACACTTGAGGCCCACCCGGGATTATAGAGTTAAACTCTATTATTCCGTTTGGAATTGATAAAACAAAGCACACTTGAGGCCCACCCGGGATTATAGAGTTAAACTCTATTATTCCGTTTGGAATTGATAAAACAAAACACACTTGAGGCCCACCCGGGATTATAGAGTTAAACTCTATTATTCCGTTTGGAATTGATAAAACAAAACACACTTGAGGCCCACCCGGGATTATAGAGTTAAACTCTATTATTCCGTTTGGAATTGATAAAACAAAACACACTTGAGGCCCACCCGGGATTATAGAGTTAAACTCTATTATTCCGTTTGGAATTGATAAAACAAAACACACTTGAGGCCCACCCGGGATTATAAAGTTAAAAAATCTTTCGTCAGCACCACCAACGAAATAAAATATAATTAAATAAATAATTAATAAAATATTAATTAATAAAAATTTATTTGCAATTCTTCACAACCTTATGCAGAAGAAGACAACATTTATTTAAATTCGGACGATGAAAATAGAAATAAATTTTCAAATAATTATGAAATTGAAGAAACTAAAGCAGAAACTGAAGAAAATATGAGTTATAATACGGGACACTGGAGTTGGAGTAATGTATTCGGTTAGAGAAGAGGTAGACTAATTATCTGAAATAATTATAATGAAAGTCGAAGCAAGCCTAAGAAAATTCTGAAACATCTCTATAAAGATTTAGGAAACTTGAAACTTTGAAAAATGCTTATGAATGCTTCTGAAGCTTTTCTGAAGCATGCTCCTAAAACTTTTTTTGCGGAAGTAAGCTTTGATTTTGGTGTCATTCGACTCGCTCGACTAGTTGTCACCCTAGACTAGTTACTCATGAAAAATAAGGGAGAAAGGCAAAAGTTGATAAATAAAATGCTTTGTATAAAAATCTACAAAATCGTTGAGAATGCTTCAAGAAAATTTTTTATTAAAGCGAGCTTCTACATATGCGTCTGAAGCATTATTTCATGCTTCATAAACTTTTTATTCAAGCAAGTTTCAATGTAAGCATTTTCAAACAATCTTTCTGAAAATCGTTGAAGCATGTCCCTCTAAGATTGAGATTATTTTATTAGCTTCAGCTTCTTAATCTATTTAGACTTACATATTTCCTTTTATTTTTTTAGTAGTTACTATGTTCACATTCACCTACTTTGGATTAATTACTGTTTTAATGGTCTTGCTTCTAATAATAATTTCCTGTTGCTACATTGATCGTATGTGCTGTTACGATTCTAGAGAAAAAAGAAAATTTGGAGATGATTTTACACTTAGGAATTAAATTGAGTTGGAAGTAAAGAATATTTATTTAAAATAAAGAAAAGTAGAAGATGGAGTATTTTCAATTAAATAAACAGAAGTTTGTAAATAAAACTGTTTTTGTTTTGTATAAACATTTACAATTTCTTATGAACTTTAAATTACAAATTGTAAACACAAATTGTGATTGGAAAGATTAATTAAGGGAGAACTTGAATGACTAATATGACCTCTAAGAACTTGAATGACTAATAAAAACATAAACTTAATAAAAATGATTAAGTTACAAAAGATATAATAAATCTTTGTAGTGTTTTTAAATAGTTTTTTATGCTCTTTCGAATGGGCTATAAAAATTTTAGATGCCACAAGAATTCAGTGAGATATGCCTATTGAAGATTGTCTATACACAAAGTGCCTTTTATTTAGTACCGGCTAATAATTCTAAAGCCCTTTCGAATACTTATTGTAATTAACATAAGATTACTTAAAACTTGATTTTGTGTGTTCCTAAACATTTTTAATTTTGTAAAAATTTTATTTGGAAATGAAACATAAATGATAGAATTTACAACAAAGTTTTTAGACATTTTAACGATAAAGCATCAAATATAGAATCAAATTCAAATTTTATAACAACACCTAGAAGTAATACAGGGCTTCGATCTCGAATTTTTAAAAATCCGCAGTTCTGATCGAAAAAAATCCGCATTTGAGATGAAAAATCCGCAAATTATCAAAACATAAAATTAAATTAAAATCACCATTTATGCGTTATATTTTTTGACTCCGAAAATTGAATTAGTAATTTTTTCACTACTAATAAACATGATTTTGTGTGTTCAAGAAGCCAAAAATCGTCTTTTTCAGCGCCGCATCTTATTAAAATCCGAACAATTAAATGAAAAATTACAGTTGACTTGAGCCAACGCTTTCACCGTCCCTAGTTGTAGTGAATTGTTTACTCATAAATCTTTTTCAGCGCCGAAGGCAAAAATTTTGCGTATTTTGGAAGGCCAAGAAGCCAAACAATGACATTTTATCCTAAAAACTACAAGAAAATACAAAAAATCCTCATGATCTTTTAAAGACCACAAAAATCCGCAAATCCATATTTTTAAAAATAATCCTCATCAAACTATCAGAAAACCACAAATGAAGAAAAATCCGCAGAAATCGAAGCCCTGAAGTAATACTCATCCTTTCTTTCCTTTCTTTTAATATCCCTCAAAATCCTTTCAGGTTCTTTATTCTTAGTCTCTGGCAAAACAATGAATCCAAATATGGAACAAAATAGTTGACAAGCAAGAATAAGTGAAAAAGACAGAAAACCTATTAATTTCTAAAAATAATTTATTTTTGCCTAGAATATTTTTTCACCTTAAGCATTGGAAAGCTAAAGAGTACAACAAGTCGGAATAAAAGATATGCCAAATGTTGAGGCACTACAACCAGGTGCGCGGGCTTCTGAAGGAAAAAAGTCGCTCAAATGAATTTCTCATTTCTTTGATATTTTTTGAAGCTGCCCCAGTCCCTTGTATACGTCCTTCCCAAGGGAGTATCATATAGTGGGGTCGACTGTTTATTCAAAAAAATTTAACCCTAGCCTTCTCATTAAGTTCCTTACTCAACTCAAAACCACCAATATCAATATCCTCTTCATTTAATTTTAAATATTTGTTCTTGTCATTAACCGATTTATACACAATTGTATCAAAAGAATAAAATTTCTTCTTTGTCAATATCCCAATATATATTTACCAATTAATGAACAGAAATTGCTATTTGTTTGTTGAATAGAGAATACTTGGTTAAAGTTGAGATATTTAAATATGTCCAGATGGACTTCGACTGGTAGAAGAAGAATATTCATTTTTGTTTTAACGTTTTGTTTTTGTTTTGAGAGAGAATCGGCAATTTTGAACATTACAGCCCCAATTTTTTCCTTCCAATTTCCTTCCAAAAAATGGGGTCTGTAAAGTTCGAAATTACTAGAGAATCTAAATGTTTTTACAAAAATGGAAGTAAAAAAGGTTTTTTAATTTATAAATTAAAACATTTTTGTTTTGTTGGCATTCTGTATTTACATTAATTTAAAAAAACCCGAAGCAGTTCAACTGAGTCCCGGCTCAACTGAGTCCCGACCTAAAACTCAAGTACGGGTTGTAATTTTTAATGTTCTTGGTATCATTGGATAGAGAATCAAAAGCTCTACAACATATCAAAAAATCAGAATTTTTGACCGATTGATAAAAAAGTTATGATATAAAAACTAACTTTTTCAAAAAAATCGGATTTTTCGACACTTTATCGTTCATAACTTTTTTACCAGTCAGTCAGGAATTTTGATTTTTTGGTAATTGTAGCCTATTTAATGCACTATAGCCTATTTAATGCATCCATTGGTACCAAGAGCAAAAAAAGTTACCATCCCTTCATAAGTTATAGAGTCCGGGACTCAACTGAGGTGTACCGAAAAAACCCCTCAAATTTGCCTACAAAATCAAGCCTAGTTTTCTGAAAAAATTTTTAAAGGGAATGAAAGAAGCTACAGAGCTTCTTTACTGAATTGGGCGTACCTTGAAAAGATTATTAAATAAAAAATACATAAATTGCAACAGCAACAAATGTAAAAAAAAATAACAAATCGTTAAAAACCAAAAATTTATACCAAACAAAAAATATTCCTGTATTTTTACAAACAATGACTATTCCATAGGTATACGATTACGATATCCAAAAGTTGAAATAAAGCAAAAATTGAGTTCTTTCACAAAAATTAATTCTTCTTGCTTTCCATATCCTCCGAAAAGTTTGGAAACATTCGAAAACTAAACTGACAACCATCAGCGCAAGTACCAGTTTCACAATAATTGGGATCAATAAAAATAAGCGAATTTGTGTGCAGAATCATTATTGGATTGAAGATGGTATTCTCCAAAATAACCAGCCAAAAACACCAGAGAAGCATTTCCTTGATATTTTGTGGAATATAAGGCAACTTTAAGAGAAGACGTTTGGACTTGTCACCTGGAAATATTTAATTATAATAATTCACAGAAATCAGACTTTTTGCCTCCTGCCAAAATTACACGTCCGACGCAACTTTATGCGTAATCGGCTATCGCAACAGATTGGATGAGTAAACAAAAACTTTTCGGTTTTTGTGTAGTCCCCCCCCCCCCATAAACCCCGCACAATTTTCTTCGGAGGCTGTAAAAGTACCTCTGTAACGAGGCAGAAGTTAACCCAGATATTCTAAAAATTGTAAAGTCCCTAAGACTTGTATAGATTAAAAATTAACCTTTTCCTTTAGGCTTCTCTTTAGTCAAACGAATAGCAAAGTTGATGAAGTAACGCTCCTTTGATGCCAATGTTGAGGCACTACAACCAGCTGTGCGGGCTCCTGAAGGAAAAAGGTCGCTCAAATAAGTTTCTGTTATTGCAACTGAAACGAAACTTTCTTTATAAAACTCCTCAAAACTTCTCAGAAAATTTACCGAATCCAAAAGAGAAGAAGACAACATAAACTGCAATGAAGACAATACTGAGATAAGCAGCAAGACATCCTCCTGAAGCATTAATAGAGACTATTGTTGTCACATCATTCCTTCCTCTAAGCAATTGCAAACTCCTCTCAGCTTCCATAAAATTTTCATGAACAATGTAGCAGTATTTGGGTGATTCAGGACAGAAGAACCCCAACAAAGTTAATTGAACACTTAGAGGTATCTAGAATAAAATAAATTTTGAAGTGAAAATTTAAAAAGAAAATTAACGTAGGAAAGTAGAAATATTAAATGCCAATTCTCCTCATCTCCCGACGTAAAAGGCAGGCCAACAACCAACGCGAATTGAAAGACAGTATAGAGGAAGACATTGGACATACATCCTACAGCACCACGCAAATTTATTGGAGCAATTTCGCTTAGATATATTGATGCAAGTCCCGTATTGATTCCTGAAAATCGTAAATAAAATCGTTTCAAATTTATTAAACAAAATAAACCAGAATTGAAGCCAATGAAAAATCTTGAGATTTCAATTTCGTCTAGGAGGAGAATAGGAGCAGTTATTGACCTGAAAATTGAAATGAAAATTTTTTTGATTATCCCCTTCCAGTCATAAAAACTAGCCAAATTATCTCTTCTTTGTAAACAGCATCAGAGCCATGAATTCGTTTATATGAACTTCTCTGCCATTCAATAAGTATTTTTGCTGAATTTAAAAAATTAAAAATATTTTTTTCCTCTAAAAAATACCTAGAGTATTTAGAGCGCCAAGATGAAATCCCACTTGAGAACCCTTAAAATAAATAAACTTTATTCCCATTTTTCCCTATAATCATTCCGGAAATATAAAATGTTATCCGGAAAGTTCTTAGTCTAACATTAAGTGTGTTTTCATTTTGTATTTTTGAAAGGTCCCCGGGAAAGGGTTTCGCATTTTTCTTTCCCTGTGAACTAAAAATTCGCTAAAAAAAGCCCTGAATGGGAATTTTTGGGAAAGTTTTTATTTTTAATAATTTTTGAATGACCGCATTTCCATAACGTCGACCACTCGGACCGGCGCCTCCTCCATGCAAAATCACACCACTACTTCCGGCCCCCAAACTCGTTACTGAAGTATATCCGCCTCCGCTCCTCCGTCCTACACTTCTTGATCTTGGGTAATTCTGAAAAATTTCGAAAAGTCATTTAAGGAAAACTTTTATTTTACGTCGTCAAATTCATCTCGATCACTTTGTGTGTGATCTTGCTCTTCCTCTCCAGGTGGATGATGTGTCTGAAAATTCAAACAAAAAATTAAAAATAGTAAAACAGCTGGGCTATAGCTATTTATCTCCTTTAGCTAGTGCAAAAGGTTAATAGGCGGCTGGGTGCGAACCAGCATCTTCAATAAACCGGACTGATGTGTTATCCATTGCACCACGCTGCCTACTGCAGCCTTAGGAATTAAATAGCTATATGGTTTACAATAAGTACGTGTATTCCAGCCTCTCGAACTTCGACCCTCGAATCTTCAAACACTATAACTCGAAATTTTTTGTGACATCCATCATCATAAAATCTACAATAAAAATAAGTTGCATTGTTTATTCCAAGCAAGGGTCTTTGTTCGTCAAATCGGCCTACTAGACGTAATTCCCTCCATTCTTCATATCTCTGCCTGTTTGGAAAAGTAATGTGGTGGCGGTAACGTACACGAAAACGGACCATTTAAATAGATAAAATAAATTAATTATCTAAAATAGAGGGATAAATTAATTAAATTCTTATATAAACAATTGATCACAAACAATCTTGATAAAGTTTTGATAAAAATTTCAAAGAAATTGAGTAAAATAAATGAGTTTCTAAATGAAATCAAACCTTAAAGGACATAATTCTAAAAAATGGGTAGGCTTAATTATCTCTTGCTTTAACTAAATAGACCTTATAAATAGAATCTCGAGGATCTTTAAATTATACATGGTAGAGTACATCAATCAGAAAAGCTGAAATGGAGGGGAGGGGTAAAAGGAAAGGGGAGGGGTTCTAGCCAAAGAATTACCAGATCTTCAATTAAATAAGCCTTAAATTAGTGATAAAGGAATAAAGAAGATAAATAATTATTGAAGGATGATATAAGAAGTTCAAAGATGATATATTCAAAGAGGATATATTACAAAAAGTCTAATCAAAACCTTTTGTAATTACTGGAGCGCGGATTTATAGGCAAATTCATTTTTTCTGCGAGCTTGGCATAATGTTGCAATGATGATTCACCTAGCAGCATTTAAAACGCTTAGGCGGGGGTAAACTATCTAAAAAGGAAAAAGAGAAAACATTAGTCGATGCCCCAGTAGTTCAGTGGTAGAGCTCCTGTAGGTGGTGAGCGAACCCACCTAGCAAAAAAGATGAGGAGGTCACGGGTCGGATCCTGCCCGGTGGATAAGCTTTTAAATTTTTTCTATGTAATGCTATAATTACATAAAGCCAGTGTTTTTTATGTAAACACGGCATAACACGTTCAAACAACGTGTTTTTTATCCGCCATTGATGGATCCTCTCAAACAATTGTTGAACCTTTTCTTAGGCACAATAGCAGATTTTTTATTGTTCATTGACGGGCCCTTCTCTCTTGCACATTTCTGTAACCACTTCCTTCCATCCATTACCAGACCCATTTCACCCATTATGGGACTCTTTTCCTTTGAAAATTTACGGGACCCTCCCATTACCAGACCCTTTTTACCCATTACTTGACCCTTTTCCTTTGTAAACCACTTATCTTTTGTCTATTACCGGAATTCTTTTCCCACCCGTTACGGAAAACCTTTTATCAAACGGATACTAAAGTTAAAAAGCTTATTAGAACTTTGGTACGGATACCAAAGTTAAACCACTGATGGATATAAATTTCCTTCTTTTTTGCCCCCTTTTCTTCCCTCTTCCTTCTTTTTTAAAACAAAAAAAAAATTAAAATTGAAAACAAAAATTCAAAAAAAAACAAAATAAAATCTAAAAAATTTCTAGGTATGAATAATTAAAAAAATATTTTAAACAAAAAAAAAGATTAAAAAAAGGCATTTATAAAAAAAATTATATAAATAAATTTTTAAAATCAACCACACACAAATTATATCCAAAAAGAAAACACAAAACTTAGAAAAAAATTTTTCTTTTTCAAATTTATTCAACTTCACCACGTTTTCTTTCTTCTTCCTTCTTTTTTGATGATCGTTCCTTTCTTTTTCTTTCTCCTCTATAGTCTTTTTCTTCATTTTCTTTTCTATTTTCCTTCTTTCTTCTCTTCTTTTTTCTTCTTTCCGAATCATCTTTCTTCTCTTTTTTTCGTCCTTTTTCCTTCTTTCTTCCCTTTTCTTTTCCATCTTCATGCTTCTTTTCTTTCTTTTTTGCCCCCTTTTCTTTCCTCTTCCTCCTCTTTTCATCACTACTCTTCCTTTCTGCTTCTTCCTTTTCTTTTTTTCTCTTCTTGCTTTTCTTCCTCTTTTTTCTTTTGCTGTCTTCATCCCCATTCTTTGTCCTTTCTTTTACTAGCTCTTCTCTTTCTTCCTTCAATTCTTCTGTCTCTTCCCTTTTGTCTGCCTTCTCTTCCCTTTTCTCTGCCTTCTCTTCCCTTTTATCACTCTTCTCATCCCCTTTCTCTCTCTTCTCCTTCCTTTCATCCCTCTCTTCCTTCTTTTCTTCCCTCCTCCTCTCCTTCTCCTTTTTTACTTCCCTAGATTTTTCTTCTTTTCCTACTTTAGCTCTATCCTCCTTCTCCTCATCCCTCTTTTTTCCTTCTTCTTCTTTTTCATCCTTCACTTCTACATTCTCCACTAGTTCCTTCTTTTCTCTTCTCACATCCTTCATTTCTATATCTTCATTTTCCTCCTTTTCTCTTCTTTCTTCAGTCATTTCTGCATCCTCCCTATGTTCTTTCTTTTCTTCTTTTTCTTCCTTCATTTCTACATCTTCCTTTCGTTCCTTCCTTTCTCTTCTCTCCTCTTTCCGTTCATCTTTCCTCGACACTTTCATCTCCTTTTCTTCTCTCTTCTCACTCCTTTCTTCTTTTCTTTCAGTTTTTCTTCCTCCTCTTCTTTCATCCTTTTCACCATTTCTTTCTTCTTTTTCTTCCAAAGCGTGGTGACGAGGAGTAAAGTAGGGTTTACTGAAATATTTTTTGAATGATTTCATGAATTAAAAATCAAAACCTTCTCCGATAGTTACCACCAACAGCACGAGATGATCTTCGAGAAAACTGATCTTGAGGAGACGGGGTTCTTCTTTCAGGAGAAATTGAGTAGCGCTTCTTGTATTGACGCTAAAAATTAAATCAGAGTTAAATTTCAATTAATTCATAAAAAATACATTTTGCTGTTGACTGTCCTTCATTCGCAGAAAAGAAAGCCAAACTTGAGTTATTTCACTATCAGGTACATGAGGACCCATAGGTCGAACAGCGGTTGACTGGTATGGAATGTTTGATGCAAGTGGAGGATTCAACGGCCTTACTCCACCAATATTCGCTAACAAATTTGAAGAGATTGAAGACCCAATAATGCTTGAATGGTCTTGTCCAATTCCAGGAGGCTTAAAAGTGAAAATAGAAAAAATTAAACTAAAAATTCCTTACAACTAATCCAGTAGTAACGGGAGTAACTGAACCAGGCGGTCGCAATTCCGTATTTAAACCTTCACCCGTTTGTCTTTGTTGTGACTGAATAACTGCATCAGAAGAAGCGCTTGACATTGAGGGAATAGAAGGATATCCACCACCACTTTGCCCTGAAGACGCTGCTGCGGCAACAATACTTTTCGCTGCCGAATCCTTGTCTTTGCGTTTTAAAAAATTTTCCCAGACTGAACTCAACTCCTATAAAAGAAAATGAGAAAAATTTTTTTAATTAAAATGAAAACCTGCGCAGAAAGAGGCGACGCACTAACCAAGCCTTTCTGTTGAGCTGTATTAATTGAAGTGCTGACATGACTGGCAGATCCATTTTCAGCTGTTATATGTGTAGATGAAGAAATAACTAGAAAAATAAAAATAATTATTAGATTTTATCATTAATATAAAATCATACTTGGAGGAGTAATTGGAACATTTTGAGCTGCAGAAATTGGAATATTGATAGGAGGAGGAGGCCTTTTTGGGTCAAAAATTGGAATTTGTGGCAGAAAGATAGGAGCTCCTTGCAACGATGAAGCAGTTGACGCGGTTGGAATGTTGTTGATTGGAGCAGCTTGAGAAGAAAGAGCTGGAGCAGTAACTAAGAATAAAACGAAGATTTACTAAAAAAATTTTAAGGACAGTGAGAGTGAAGGTGTGGGCCAAAGGTTCACTTATGTTAGAATGTTTCAAAAAAAAAAACCTCTGACCCACATTTTTTTATAATTCACTGGTCAAAAAAATTTTTTAAATGGAAAATATATATCAGAAAAAATCCTTATAAATTGCTCAAAAATGCCCACAAACTAAAATAACGAAAAATTAAAAAAAACCATAAGAACTGGTATCCTGAGTTGTCACATTGACAGCTGTGGAAGTTGCAGGATCAGATGTATTCTTCAAGCCAATGAAAATTGGTGGTGGCTTTGAAGGCGGCGGTTGTGCAATTGAAGCTGGAATGTTTGTTGCTGCTGCGGACGCTAAAAAATAAGTTGACTTTAAATTTCAAAAAATTTAAATTCAAGCCTTGAGAAGAATCTGGTTGAGAAGGAGAACGTCCAGTAGTAGTAGCCAATTCTCTTTGTGCTTGAGCTAGAGCCAAGTCTGGCATCAGTTTGTGTAAAAGTGACTGCGTATCAGTCAACACACTTGGCTTATTGACTCCTCCCTAAATTAAAAAATAAAAACTAAAATGGAAAAATTTTTAAAATACTGTTTGTTGATCTGTTGTTTCGCCCCCAGTTTGGAGCTAAAAAATTAGGAATTTGATTAAAACAATGATTGAAAAAAAACCTCATTTAGATATTTCTGAATCGCTGCCCGTAAACTCTTATTGGGAATGAGAGAATCTGCACTGATTTGTTGTGAGCAGTCAGGACCGGGGCATTGTTCCAACGGGTTGGCCAGAAGCTGTTGTTGGTAACATTCAGCACAGAAGCTATGCCCACAACAGGCGGCTGGAAAAAAAGGGAAAATTAGGAACATAATAGCTGTAATAGGAAACAGAAAAATAGGGGAGCACGACCCCACCCAACCCTCTGAAATGGGGAAAAGGGAAAAATAGAGGAGGGGATTGAGGAGGACTATGACCCTCAAATTTTAAAAAATTTCCGCCTGCGGCACTGAAAAGGAACAAATCCAGCCTCTTGGGTCTAGCTTCTTGATACTCCATTTGAAATCAACCCCCTGGCACGCCCTTGGAGCAGTAGAAAGCCATGACAAAAGCCCAATTTTCGGAAAAGCCTCCAAAAAATCTTGCAAACAAAGCACAACTGTTTAAAAGACCAGAAAGAAAAACTAATCAAAAAACCTAAAACAGCATCTCTCAATAGTCCTTTGCATAGAAAACATTTGTACTGCTCCGGCACCTCCACTTGTTCTTCAGTATAAGGCGAGCCTGTAACATCTTCAGTTTGACCAGGAAAGGGTTCCTTCAAATTAAAAATTAATTTTAAAATTTAATTAAAAATAAAACATGTTTTCTTTGCAGCCTTGCTTGGAAGTGCATTATCGACTTGACATATTTCCCTGATGGATGCAACATCGCTAGAGGGTCGTCCTTGGTAGTTTCCATCAATTCATCCATCGGAATTCCAGTTGTTCGTTTTGTATTTACCTACAAGTGGTTGAAATTTATGGTTTAATGCATTCCAACACAATTTCTGGCCCTTCATCAATTTTTGTTTTTTTTTCAGACAAAATTTGAGTGGTCGGAATTGTTTAAAATTAAGTATAATTTTATATTAATAGAATCCCTTATTTTATAAAACAAAAAAATATTCAAGTATAAAGTCAAAACGAGATTTTTTTCTAAAAATTTATTAAAAAGGTTTGACTTTATACCTGATTAATTAAATTTAAACATTTTAGAAGCGATTCAAGGATAAGAAATAATAAATAGACTTACAATTAATAATAAGCTAACAAAGGACCATCGTTTTGCTGTGACTAGGGTTGGGGTTTTCGAGTCGGGCCAACGTTCGAGTCGTTTTTTTCGGGCTCATTTTTATAGGGCCGGACGACCGACCGAGTCTTTTTCGGGCCAAAATTCGATGCCCGACTCGATCTATCTGACCAGCCCCCAACTCTAACTGTGATTTTTTTCTCTATTTTACCGGTACCTTTTCGATAAAAGTTATGTTCGTTTGCCTACAAAATAATCTGGACTGAGTTATGTCCATTCAATTCACAGCAAACGATGGTCCCTTATGAGAACATATTAAATAGTTTTAGAATTTCTGTAATTAGCAGAGGACGGTCAGAATATCCGGAGGTGTCTAAAATCAGAAATGACGGAATTCCATCACTGCTAATTACTAACCTTAGAAATTTTACAAAATATTATTTGAGGATTAAAAAACGGTTGCTTAATTTCTATGCTGAATGAGATAAAAAATAAAAACAAAGGGATAAAAAATGAAAATTAAAAACAGGCCTTTCAATTTAAAATTATTTTCTAACAAAAATATTGACATTTCTGAAATGTTAAAAAATATGTTTGAAAGTCCTGATTAAAACTATAACTTGAATAATACGAAATTGGAGAAATATTTAAAAAAAATAGGAGGATAACAAAAAAAAATAATAAAACTGGGAAACGAAAATTAACATTCGAAGCGGGTTAAAAAATATAAAATAATAAAACCAAATTTAATCGGAACTTAATCCTTTTATTAATTAGAGATCGGAATTTTTGAAAAGCCTGGGCCTATTATTGGGTTTGATTTATTGACCTAGGCCTGTAGTCCAGGAAAAATCCAGGAAGGTAAAAAATGCCTGGACATGGGCCTGACTATAAAAAAACCCAGGCCTTGGTGCAGACCCAGGCCGATCTCTAGTATCAATCTTTAAAAGTTCAATAAAGGTGAAAAAGGACCGAAATTTGTGAGAAAGGTAAAATGTATGAAAGCGGGGCAATTCCCGGTTTTAATCGAGCACAACGAGATGTGCAGGCTATTTCCTTAAAAATTAGCTGTCAAATATATTTAAAACAGCAAAATTCAAATGTGGTTAGACAAACACGAACACACTAAAATAAGTAATAAACCTAGTTCTTAAAATCGCAGCTGAAAAAGCTTTTCACAACCCGGGAACCCTAATGTTAGAAGAAAAGAATTAAAAGGTGAAAACCTCTCACTTGATAACATCAGATTGTCTAAATACAACAATAAAGTGTATCAACAAACCCTCAGAACTCATCAGAACACAAAATCAATTTTTGGAAGAAAAATGTCCCTCACCATTAAGGTTGTTTCATCATCGTCAAAAAACCACGAAAATTTAATCAAAAAAATTTTTCAAAAATAATTCCCATTTTTGAAATAAAAATAAATTTGTTGCAAATAAATTGCAGAAAAAATTATAAAAAATTTAAAAAATAAAGGAATTAATCAAACGCTGAGAGGAATCAATGGCAAAACACAAGAAAAACCGTTCTAGGCCATTGTTGATTAAAAATTCCCCGATCACTCGATTTCCTCATCATCAATGTGGAAAGGAGGAAGAAGAGAAGTGAAATTACCAATGGACAGCTTTTGTACCAATGACCAGGTTGCGCACAACGATTGCAAACATAAGTCGGTGGAGGAGGTCCAGACATGATTCCAATTGCTCGTCTTTGGTAGCTAAATTAAAGCAAAAAGTAAATAAAAAATAAATAAAAATGAAACTTTGCAGCGCTGTATTTCTCTGCAGAAACTTGTTTTACATGGGCAATCCTCTGTTCTTCAGTAAGCTTCGAAAAATCATCCTAAAAATTGAAATTATGGGTAAAATTTCCGGCAGATGTCCCGAAAACCAATTCAAACAAACAATATGTCATTAAAAAGACCCGAGCTGATTGTGAGTCTTACGGCAACAAAATACAGCACAGGCTAACTATTAACCAGGATATAAGTTCCCAAAATCTGAAAAACTATAAGGGAAACAGAAGTCATTTTTGGGCCCATTGTTTGTCCGAATCGATTTACGGGGCATATGACGAAGTTTTTAGAGTTTAATGTCAGAGATCGAGCTAGGTCTGGACCAAGGCTAGGGGTTTTTTGTACCCAGCGTCCAGGCTCAGGCATTTTTTGATCTTCCTGGGGTTTTCCTGGGCCTGAATTTTTCCTTAACTACAAGTCAAGGCATTCGGCCCAAACCAATAAATCAAACGCGGAACCCAGTCTGGCCCCAGTAATAGGCCCAGGATTTTCAAAAATCTCGATCTCCATTAATCACTTCCAAAAATTAATTTTTAAACAAACCGGACTAATGTAGGTCGAAGACTGGAAAACGCCTGCAGAACGTTGAACAATCCCGCTATTTGCTGTATCCCTCAAATATATTTAAAATTCAAAATTTCCTAAAAAAGGCTTACTGGACTTTGGGTAACTTCAAAGCATTGTCTCTCGGCAATCTCTGAACTACCACAGAAGAATTTCTTGGGACCAATTCCCCCGTCGTATATTCTCTTTTTGTGTGGGCATTTGTGATTAACAAATCAAAAGATTCTGTTCGAATATTTTCTTTATCGCATATTGCCTTTTTTAATTCATCCACGCCTATATGGAGGCCATCAAAAGTTAAAGTTTTGTATTCTAGTGTTGCTTTAAATTTGTAGTGAACTGAAGACATTTTTTTTAATTAAATCTAAAATTAAACTTGAAATCAGAAACAAAATCACAAGAATCTCGAAAATAATGGACTTATTTTAAACTTTTTCTTTTTTTATCTGCACTCTCCAATTTCTCCACAGTCTCTAATTTAAAGGGGGTGGGGGACGTTTGAGTATCGCCAATTCAGTATTTGGGGCATATTTTGGGCCATAACTTTTTTGATTCTTAACCGATTTAAATAGTTTTTAGATCATTCGAAAGCTCTAAAAGTGTGCATTATTTTAATTAACAGGATTGATTTGATCCGATCAACCTATAAAAAGTTATAGCCGAATAGGTGCCGTCAATCGTGATTTTCGATGTTTAGTTGGTTTTAACTTTTTGGAGAAAATTCAAACCAGATAATTCCATTACTCAAAAGATGCCACATCTTGAGACCTTTCGAATGATATGAGAATTACTTTAATCGTAGGAAAACTAAGAAAGTTATGGCCCAAAATATGCCTAAACACTGAATCGGCGATACTGAAGCGTCCTTTTCCCGAAATTAGGAAATAGACATTTTGCCAAGAGGACTTTTTGCCAACGTTATTTTTGTCAAACAATTAGCGAGTTTATCATAATTTAAAAATTTTGCTGGCAAAAACAGATAAAAAACATTTTAATAATTAAAAATAATTAAGTCAGAGATAGAGCTTTAAAAATTTATAATGAAATCAATAATTAAATAATAGAGAATTAATTTTAGGTCAATACAAATTGAAAAATATGAAATTGATTGAAAACTTAACGAGAAATTTTAGTTAAATGGGCAAAAAATATATTAATATTGAATACCGCATTTATCCTAATAGAACTGTAGATTGGAATTTTGAAAAAACCGGGTCTTGGAACCGGGAAACGGGTTCTGAAGGTTGACCGGGAGGGACCCGGACAGGGAAAACCGGGAATTCCCGTTCCCTGTTTCATCCCGGTTGCTTCAAAAAACCGGGAAAATAAACCCGAAAACCGGGTCTCCGACCCGTTCCGATCTCTAAATAAACCTCTGTCTCTAATATAACCACCCTGGAGAGGTTGAAAAATAGAACCATCGGAGGTCTATTAGAATAAATACGGTATTTCAAAAGTATAAAAAATTTAATTTAAATCAGGCTTGGTAATGGATACGGATACAGAAAGTTCAAAATGTATCGGATATCCGTCCGTATCCGCCGTAAATATCCGGATAAGGGATACCAAACTCCATGTCTATTACCTAGTCTGATTTAAAATATTCAATATTCCTTTTACAAAATAATAGATAAAAATTTAGTTAATTAATTTAATTATTTTTTAAAAGTTTCTTTAATAGTCCTTATGTTCAATTACATCAATTATGTACATGCTAAAAATTAAATATTAAAAAATTATTTTTTAAATTATTTTTCTGACCGATTTCCAGATACAAGAGAATTCATTGAAAGTTCTTGACCATTGAGATAAACCTAAAAAATAATCAGAAAATATTTTTTGATAAAATTATAACCTCAATTTTACTCACACCCATTACTAAATATGCCTCAATTTAGGATACGCTGTTTAAAATTTTAGTTGGCAACATGGCGAGGGAGGGGGAGAGGGAGGGGAGTGCTTAAGCTCTCAATAACGGATACACCTTGTGAGGGCGGTGGGTGGAGATGACTACCTAAATAACTAGGAGACCTGCCTCATTAACGGATACCCTCAATCTTAGGTACACTTTTTTCAACCTCTACGGGGTGTATGTAAAAAAGAGAGGTTCTACTGTATTAGATAATTCAATAAATATTACTCGAAATTGTGGATTATCGTCCCAAACAGTTCCACTATCATTAGCTATCTAGAAAAAATTTTAAAGTAATTTTTAAAGAGACTATAAAATATTTAAAAAAAATAAATGCAAATTTTTGATAAATTTTGGAATCCAAAAAAATTCTAAAAAATTTCCAAAAAATTTAAAAAAATCCAGCACCTGACACCGAGCCATATCAATTAATTCGGCAACTGTACATCCATTATAAATTTCAATAACACAGCGGTCCTCCCCAACTTTTCCATATTTTGGTAAATAAATGGTGTTAATAATGACGTTAACTTTTGGACCCAAAGCCATTAAATTAAATAAAAGAAATTATTTTAATAAATTAATTAATAAAATAGAAGAAATATAAATTTTTTAGGGCCAGAAATTTATTTAAAAAATTTTCTAAAATTAAAAAAAAATAATTTTTGAATTTTCTAAAATTTTCTTAAAAAACATTAGAAATTCAAAAGCTTTGGTAGAGATTAAATTTATACCAGGGATGAACAGGGTTACCCGATACGCGAAACCTGATCCGAAGAAAATTTTGGAGACCTCATACAAAATTAGACCCGATTTTTCTCAACCTTGTCCAGCCTTGGTTTATACGAGATTTTAAATTTTATTTAAAACTTTTCTCAAAAATTTTTTTAAAAATTAAAAAAAAATTTCGTATATTTTTTAAATAATTTTAATTTTTAAAAATTATTAAAAATTTAAAAGCTCTGGTAAATATTAAGTTTATAACAGGGATGGGTCGGATTACCCGAAATCTGATCCAAAGAAAATATTGGAAACACTAACCGAAACCCGACCCGACTTATTTCGACCTTGCCCATCCCTGGTTTATTCGAGATTAGAAAACGAATATAAATTTTAAAATTCATTTAAAACTTTTCTCAAAAATTTTTTAAAATTAAAAAAAAATTTTTTTTTAATAAATTTTAATGTATAAGAATTTGAAAATGAGAATAACAAAATTGAAAATAAATAGAAAAACAGCAACATTTAATGGAATGTTGTCTAGGTTTTACTTACATATTTAAATAAAGCAACATTTAGAAGAATAAAAAAATAAATTTATTTATAAGAAAATTTTTTTAGAAAAATAAAGAAAGTTTAAAGGAAAAGGTGACTAGACTGATGTAAATGTAGATTAAAAATATATTTTTGTAAACAACAAAAAATGGCTGAAAAAATAAGAATTTTACAGATAAAAGATCATAAAAAGGGTATTTTTGCAGTTTATTTTTTATTAATGGAGGTACTCTGCAGAGGGTACTTAATAGAGGTTATTTCAGGAAGGGTAATTATAACTAGAGTTGGCCGGGATTGGGATCCCGGTCGGGATCGGGCGGAATTATCCCGGTTTTTCAAATCCCGATCCCGATTCCGACCAATCCCGATCCCGTGTCGGGATCGGGATCACCATCCCTAAATCCCGATCCCGCGTTTTTCTCTAAATCCCGATACCGGCCAACTCTGATTATAACTATATTCAAAAGAGTAATTATTGTTTCAATCTTTTGCTGGAAGGGGTAACTAATAGAGGTGGAGAAATTATTTGAGTGAGGTAATTAATAGTTCTAGTATTAAACTAAAAATTTTAGCAATTTATTTTTTATTTTATTGTTTAAATAAAAAATAAAATGCAAAAATATTTTTCGTATGATCTTTTACCTTTCAATTTTTTTCAGAAAAAATAAAAAACCCCTAGGACATGGATCCACCCAGGGCAACGGATTTGATTTGCTTCTTATCTCTTATGAATCTTTAAACTTTACATATAACATTTAAACGTGCTAGGGGGTTTTCCCTCGTTTCCTCTCGATTTCCTTCTCAAATTAGTAGTTTTAAGCTTGTCCGATCCGGGGTTTTAAATAAAAAAATGATTTAAATAAATTGTTCAAAGCCTAGCAATATCTTCAAACTGGTAATGAAAGAAAAATTTTATCTGTGTCAGAAGGGAAGAAATATTTTTAAAATCAAATACCCCCATTTTCCGTTGATTTTGGAGTTCGATGATGGGGGCAAGTACCGTATATCTTGAATAAAATCTTTTTTTTTTGTAAAAAAGAGTCCACAAATAATGGGTAGGGGATCATTGAGTCCCGCCGGTTGAGTCCCGGGGCCATATTTTGGGCCATAACTTTTTGGGGTTTCAACCAATTCAAATAAATCTTTTATCATCTGAAAGCCCTGGATAAGGGGATTATTTTCGTCAACTAGATTGATTTGATAAGACCATCCAACAAAAAGTTACATCTAGATAAGTGCGCGCAATCGTGATTTTTGAGCTTTATTAAGCTGTAACTTTTTGTTTGTTGATCTGATTAGATCACTCCTGCTAGAAAAATAATCCTTATATCAAGAGCTTTTGATTGATATATTAAGTATCTAAATTAATTAAGAATTGAAAAAGTTATGGCCCAAAATATGGCTCAGGGACTCAACCGGCGGGACTCAATGATCCTGTTCCGCAAATAATATGTTTTATAAAGGTGTAATTTTGGGTTCAATTTTGGGTTCATAATTTTAAAAGGTGCCAATTTATTTCCAAGTATATATAAAAAATTGCAGGTGTAAATTTATAACAAACAAATAAATAATTATTGGATATTTATTATAAATAAATATATATTTCTTTATTTTTATCGCATATAAAATTTAATAAAAAAATTATGTGTAATAAAAAATTAAACTAAATTAATAAATAAAAAATATATTTTTAATTGTAAAATAAATAAATATTTTAATTATTTTTATCTAAATTTATTATTTTTAGAAATATTTATCAGAATAATGCTTAAATTAATAGGGTAAATTAATTTAAAGAATTTCAGAATTAATAATTAAATCAGAATTTTAATTTTTCCCCTATATTCTGAAATTCAATTTTAGCTAATTTTTTTCAGAATTTGTTTGAAATTCTGAATTGTAATTAAATTCTGATTTGTAAATTCTGATTAAACAGAATTTTTCTCAAAATTATTTAAAAATAAATTCCAGAATTCATTCCAATTCTGAAATTAAATTCAGAATTTTAACATTTTCTGGTATTTCTGATATTTATAATTTCAAATCCGACTCTAGTATAACCTGTATTAATTGACCTCCCTCAAATAATTACCCAACTTCCGTTAATTACCCCATCCAGTGATAGATTGAAATAATAATTACCCCCCCCCCCCTGACAAATGCCCTAAAACAAACCTCGTAAAATTGCCCTCCCTCGATTAATTACTCCCTCCAACGGAAGGTCGAAACAATAATTACCCAGGGTAGTTATTAAAGGATATACGGTAATTAAAGGTTAAAATAAAGTTAAGTTCGACTTTATTTAATTTTTTCTAATTAAATTTTTAAATATTTTTAATTTTATTTTTTTTTCACAATAACCTTTTTATAAAAACAATTAATTGAATTTTTAAAATTTCCATTTTAAAATTAAATTAAAAATTAATTTAATAATACATATGTATACTTTAAAAATCAAAAACAATTTTAAAGTTTTATTCTATTAAAAAAATTTTTTTTATAAAATATTATAATTAAAGGCCAGCTGAAATATCACGAGTTTCTTTTAAATTTTGATATTATTTAATGTATTATCGTAAATATGGTGTTATCGTAAAAGTCTCTAATAGTTGACACCCTTATAGAATAGCAACTTAGAGCAGAGGCCGGTCGGGATCCGTCCTCTGCTCCGAGGGGTTGGCCGGAGCAGAAGTCGGTCCTTTTTCTTTAAATTTCAAAAAATTCATGACGATTTTCTTTAGAATTTTGAGTTATTTCCGAATTACGACCGACCCCTTGAAGAGAAGTTTAACAGTTTTCATGTTTTATTATTTTATATAATTTCGAAATTTTGCGATTTTTTTTGAAACATTTATCGACGATATAGTAAGAGTTTAGCATAAGTTTAGCCAACGGGCAGGATTCTGCCCGTTGGCCTGCGACAATGCTGACAGTGCTTGCTCGGCCTAGCTAACAATAATGCTTACTCCTTTCTTTTTTTTGTTCGTTTAATCCCCACCTAAGCATTTTAAGTGCTGCTAGGTGAATCAACCTTACAATATCGAATCATAATAAACCCCGATAAACCCCAATAGAAACCATTTTATAAAAATATCCAAAGACTCCCATAGCTCTTAGTTACTTTACTAAAGACTAATACTTATTTTTTGTTTAGAATTGGACTCATAAGGGGAATCTTGGGGTAAAAGTCAATAAAGACTATTATTTGCGAGAAATCTTGCAGCGTGTTCTGAAGCCTCGGTTCAAGAGCCATTTCGGTCGCAGGGTCTGGATTTTCCAACAGGACTCTGCTCCGGCACACAAGGCGAAAGAAGTTCAGGACTGGTGCAAGGCCAATTTTCCTGGGTTCATCAGCGCTCAGGAATTACCGCCCCACTCCCCGGATTTAAACCCGAGGATTATTCTGTTTGGTCAATTTTGGAGTCCAGGGTCTGAGCTAAGCCTCAAAAAAGTTTGAAGTCTCTGAGCCATTCTCTCACCCGGGAGTTGGACTTAATTACACTCAAAGAGGTGCGTGCTATTTGCGAAAATTTTTCTTCGCGCCTTCGCCTCTGTATCAAAGCCAAGGGTGGGCATTTCGAAACTTCTTGATTATTTTTGTTCCTTATTTAATTCTCTATCATCTGATTGTATTTTGATTTTATTTGATTGTGTTTTAATAAAGTTATGAGAGAAAACAAGTGTCCGGTTACTTATGGCGCACCCTGTATTATAAGTATTTTATCTTTTGTAGTTTATGCTTAGATAACTTGGTTTAACATTTTTTGAAATTTGTTTCAATTCCGTTCCTTCATATAACTATTAATTAACTTATTTTTGGAAAATTTAATGTATATTTAGAAAAATTGAAAATAATTATATATAATTATGTATGTAATTAGAAAATTTTTTTAATTTTTAACCAGAACTAAAAATTCAAGGAATTTATTAAATTATTAGTTATTAAAATAACGAAGTATAATTATTACACAATTACCCCTCAATTTTTTCTTTCCCAGGTGTGTATCTTATACTTACTTAGATCTGTGTGTAGTAATAATGTCTAAATAAAGAATTGTGCTCAAAAAAGCTATTTTAATAAAACTCGTGAAGGTTTATTAGTCGATGAGTCGTTTAAGGCATCAAAAACAGACAGTCTTACTGGTATTTAGACAAAGACAAGTCCGCTCTAATATTTATTTAGCTCATAGATTTTTACGGGACCCACAAACTTTCATCGACACTTGAATATTAAATGTAAATGTTTAGGATATCTTGACCGAGCTACTCCTCTGAGGCCAATTTTTTAATTTAAAATTAGGTAAGCTTAACCATGATCCTTAACTATCTTCCGGTAAATGTTGAACAAATGATATAATTTTTAAGAATTTAAAGAAAAAAATAAAAATGGATTTAAATACAACCATTCTACCTATTTTATCTACCTCTACAATACCTCCAACAAACGATTTATTTAATAAATTTAATGGCCATAAATTCCCTTATGACTATTTAATTCTTCAAATATTTCTATTTTTATTTACAATTGCAAGTATTTTTATGAATTCAATTATTGTTGGGACAACTATATATTCAAAGTAATTCATAATAATTCTAAAGTTAAGTAAACAACGGGTTGAGCAGAAGCTTAGATCGTTAATGAATTTAACTGCAAGTGTTAGCTATGCTTTGGTTACACGTAGTTGTAAGCGTAATCAGAAAAAGGGGGGGGGGGGATCTAGAGAAAAGTAGTTGTAAGCGGAGTCAGGGCGAGGGTTGGCAAATCTGGAGAAATACTTAGATACCCAGATCCGGAACCAAGAGCCGAACCTATGTGGCAAAATTTTGGATATTCGAATTTTTTTCTGATCTGATATACGGAACAGTCAACCCTTGTCAGGACGTGCTGAGTAGAGGAAATAGCTTTACTTTTTATATTCACTCCTAAATATCTGGATAAGAAATCCTCTGTTTAAGTGTTTCTATTTGAATGCCCCCTCTAATAGAATGCCTTTTTGGAAGATGATTGAAAAATTAGAGGGGATTGGAGCGGCATTAGAATGCCCGTATAATAGAATGCCCTTTGGAAGGTGATTGAAAAATAGAATGCCGAGGCATTATATTTGAGGCAATACGGTATATATGAAAATGATTAGAATGACAACCCTAAACCCTTTCTTATACCCAAAATGACGCTTAATTATTTATCTCAATTTATAGTTTATTAAAAGAGCAATGTCATGTTCTAATAGCTATAGAATCAGGATGTAATGCTTTACTTCAATTTAACCGTTGGACCCCTTTCTTGCTTGCAGTAACTGGCAACAATTTTATTTCCTTATATAAATGTTGTTGGTTACAAATTTTGCCACTTTTTGTTTCTTTAATTGGGGCAGGATTAATTTTCATAATTGGAGTGGAACGTTTAATTTGTATTGCTTTTCCCCTTTGGTTCGTCAACTTTTATGAATTTTGTCATAAAAAAGAATCAACTCTTCACTCTTTATATGTATTAGTTAATTATGCCATTAATTTATACTGTTATAAGATTTCTGTCTTATCTAACGTTTAGGAAAATTTTATGTATGAAATCCTGGCTAGAGAGAGGACACGATGATCGATCATGTTACCTGATCGACATCACATATAATCTCGATTCTAGCCTCAACATACAGTAAACCCTTTCTAAAATAAGCCCCTCTTAAGATCGTTCGAAAAAATAGGTCGGGGTCTAATAATTTTTAATTTTGTGTTCTGCCTATGTTAGGTGAAGGGGAGTTGTCTGAGTGATGCCTCGATTTTAATCAGAATATTTTAACCCGAAGGGTGTATCTAAAATTAAGTTTTTGGTATTATTTCGAATTCTTAAGTCTTCAAATACTAAAATTTCGAAAATTAAAATTTTTAAAATCTTTCAAAATTAAGGTTTCGAAAAAAGAGTTCTCATATGATTATTCACCTATTAAATTTGGTAAATATGGGCACAGCCATTTATGCATGTTTTCTGGCTTTTATTTCCTCAACAGACCAAAATTCTAGTCAAAAGTTTATCTTAAATTTAATTTTTTTTGAAAATTTTAATAATTTTTAGTCAAGTAATTTGCCAAATTAGTGATATATTTAATGATCCTTATACAAATTTTTTAATTTATACGAGAGGGGAAATTATACATTTACTTATTATTATTGTTTATTTAATTGTTTTGCTATTAATTTCTTTTAAATTTAAAAATTGTAGGTTTAATATTTTTCAGAAATTTATTTTTTTAATTTGAAACACATTTTGACCCTGAATGCCTACACACTTTTAATAAACACATGTTTGGATTAGAGGAATTAAGGGGGGTATTGATGGATTCGGGGAATATTGGTGAGGGATATCTTTGGAATTATATCGAGAAAATTCCACAATATCTCCCTTGAATCTACTTGATCCTTGATCATGATTAGGTTGTGCGCCGTAGTGTTTGGCGTTGTTTAGCATTTGGCGTATTCTAAAAATGTGAAAAATTGGCTTTGAAGCAAATATTAAAAAAATTTTTTTAGGTATGAACTCTTAAGTATAGAACCACAATTTAAATCATATAAATTTTAAATTTTTGTTTGGCCTATGGTTATGTGAAGAGGTTCGATATCCCACACTAATATTCCCCAAATCAACTGACATAGAGGATATAGGTGTTCAGACGTAGACTCACAAATTCTGAATCACCCACAAATCACAAATTATTTATGCCATATAATCTAATTTAACGTCTAAAAAAATAATTTTTCAATTAAAGTGTCAGAAGCTTCCAAAGGATTAAATAAATCTTTAATTGGAATTGTTTTGGTAGAAATATTTTGTTGGTGTCCAATCGTTTTCTTTCCCTACACTATATCCCAATTAAATTTGGACCAACTTGGATTACTTTATTTCACAACAATTTATTATTTAATTTTGGCTATAGCCTCTTCAATGAATTTACCTATTCTTTACAATATGAGGTTTTTAAAAATTTCAAAAAAATTTTTTCTAAATTTAAATTTTAAGTAAATTATATCGAGAAGAAATTAAAAAATTTACAAAATTAATTAAAAATATTTTTTGGCAACAAAGTAACAACTCAGTTGGGAATGTTACTTTTGTACGTCCAACTGTTCCTTTAAGCAGTACAAACAATTGAAAGTATAAAGAAATGGAATTTAAAAATTGAAAAAATTTAATTAAAGATTTATTGTATGTTTTGATTTATTGAGTAAATTTTTAAATTTTGTAAATAAAAGCTGAGGGGGGGGTTTAAATTTTTCGTCCTGATGGTTTGAGTCCAAAATTTGGTCCAAAAAAGACTTTTTTACTTCCATAAAATTCAAAAAATATTCTAAATTTCTGTATAACCCCCGATATCCACGATTTAAGGGGTTAAGAATATATAGGAGGGTTGGAGAGGTTAAGAAAGATATCAGGGCTCTCACGGCTTATCTCATATCAAAATAGGGAGAATGTGAGAATTAAAAATATTGGTGGGATTAAGTGGATCAACCGAGATTCATTCAAATTCACTGATCCTTCAGCGACGCAGGCAAAAATTTTAAGAATTTTAGTAGAAAAAGTAAGAATTTATCAAGGCATTTCTTTTACAATTTAAATTTAGTTTCAGAAAATAAGCCAGAATACAGAGTGTAATTTTGGGGGACAAAGGCACGGAAACGGGGGTTGCGTTGGTTAAAACTAGAGCTAGGAACGGGTCCGGGACCCGGACCCGTTTCCGGGTCCTCTGTCCCGGTTTTTTTGAAGCAACCGGAAACCGGGGACGGGTTTTCCCGGTTTCCCGACCCGGAACACGGCCGGTCCATTTTTCAGAACCCGTTACCCGTTACCCGGACCCGGTCCCGGTTTTTTCAAAATTCCTAACTCTTGTTAAAACCTAATTTGAAATAAGGGCGTCATTATTTGATGATTTTTTTCATATTTTGTTGGAAAAAATTAAACAACCGTCAAGTTCAACATAAAAAACGATGGCGCCCTTATTCCAAACTATGGATAATTTTGTGGTTATATAAAAAATTTAAAAATAAAAAATTTTAAATAAAAATTTTTAAAATAAAATTTTTAAAATTAGGTACATATCTAATTACCGTATTTTCTCTATTAATTCCCTTCCCTCAAATAATCCCCCTTTCGATTAATTCCCCAGGCTAGAGTTGGGTTTAAACAATAATTCCCCACCCCAAACACCCTACTGCACGTTCAAATGCCAAAACTCGAATTAATTCCCCTCCCTCGATTAATTCCCCATGCCATCGAAGGGGTGAAAAAATAATTCCCCGGGGGAATTAATCAAGTAAATACGGTAATTATATAAAAAATTTTAAAATTACTTTTTGAAAAATAAAAAATAAATTTAAAAAAAAAGAAAAAAACAAAATAAACTTTAGTTAAAAATCCTTGGGGTTGGTTAAAAAATGCACATTTAAAATATTTACATGCTTTGGCGACTTTTTGGCTCTTTTACACAATATACGTCCAATCACATATTATGCGTCCATCAAAATAAATTTGCATTTTTCTTTATATTTTTAATTTGGGTTGAGTTCCGTAACAGTTTTCATGTACGTGACATACGCCCACGGGTCAGGGACCGTTCCTTAACCTATTCCTCGAAATTTCTACAAGTTATAGCAATTTTATGATTTAAGAAAAACGATTATAACTTTAAGAAATTTCGAGGAATAGGGTAAGGAACTGTTCCAGACACAGTGGGCTTAGGTTCCGAACATAAATGAAATGTTTCGGAACCCAACCTTAAATTCAAAATTTAAAGAAAAATCCAAATTAATTTTGTTTGGACGCATAAAGTGTGAGTCGATTGGACGTATATTGTGTAATAGAGACTACATTTATGTGCTCATACTCATCCATTTTTCCATTTAAAGGTTTTTATTTGACAATTTGATAAAATCAAAAAATCCGACTTGATTTGATCGAAATACAGACCCCTGAAAATTGACCAACCATAGGGGTGATTTTTTAGAATAAAAATTTTTTTATGCAAATGATAGCTCATTCGAAAGAGCTGGATGAGAATTAGTGAAAAGAATGCCATATCTCAAATCCCCATTCCAATGAAATGCAAAAAGGATATGGTAAAATTTTTGATAAATATCAAGCAATGGAAATTGGTGATAATGACGCACTTGCAATAAAAAAGTCCGCAAAAAACGCAAAAAATCGGCCTAACGACAAAATACCTAAAATAGTATAAATGTCAGTTAGTTAAAAATCCTCATCAATCTTCCTTGATCTATTCCAAAAAAATCTTCAACCATTATAAATTGCGCATTTCTCCGTTGAGAAAATAGATAATAGATCTAAGTTCAGGACGATCACCGGGATCTTCTTCAATGCATCTCTAAATAGTTAAATTTAGTAATTATTTTTTTATTTCCCATCCTTTTTTGTTGTTATGAGTTTTAGAGTTGCTAAATCGGGATGACTTGATTAGGACCTCACAAAACATGCAAATGCATGTTTTGTATGCGGATATGCCTTGACTAGGAGGGGAAAATTAAAGTTCGTATACCCTATGATTTCTTCCGAAAAAAGAACTAACTAAACATGATCAGACTTTGTTACTTTCCTCAGCTTAACTCTTATGCATGCATCCTTAAATTCGGTTTTTTCAATAAAAGTATATCAGTTTTAAGACATAAAAATGTAAGAAATGAGAAGAAAATCGTCATATTTTTATAAAAGATCTGGGTACTTTATCCAGCCAGCTCTTTTATAATTCCCTACGGGGAATACTGCAAGGCCAACCCATATTTCTAAAAAACAATTCTGTTAATAATTCTGTTAATATTGTAAAGCATATGGCTATTAATTTCCTAAGGCTGAGCAGTAGGCGGCGTGGTGTAATGGCCAACACATCAGTCCGGTCTACTGAAGATGCTGGTTCGCTCCCAGCCGCCGATTAACCTTTTGCACTAGCTAAAGGAGAGAAATAGCTATAGCCCAGCTGCTTTACTATATTAATTGTAGTAGGCGACGTGGTTTAATGGATAACCCATCAGTCCGGTCTACTGAAGATGCTGGTTCACCCCCAGTCGCATAATAAATTTTTGCACTTGCCAAAAAGAGAAATAGCTACTAGGTATATGTCTCTTATTTTTACAAGTTTTTTTAGCATTTTTAGGGAATAGCCCAACTGCTTTATTTAATTTAATATTAATGAATTTTTTGCCTTTATAACATGATTAAGACGTTTATATGGTGTGTTGAAACCATCATTTGCACTCATTTTTGTATATGAAGGCATATTAATATGCACAAAGTCTATTCCATTCCCAGAATCATCATCATGTATATCCTCATATAGACTGTGTACAAGCTTGTAAACGAGTACCCCAAATGAATAAATGTCCGCTTTATAGCCAATCTGTAAATTATTTTAATTTAAATAAATTATTAGTCGAAAAAATTACAGGAATCACATTGCGGATTCTGTGATCAAAAAATTCAGGTGATATATAACCGTGTGTTCCAACAATCTTTTTTACTTTTGCACCTTGATGAATAGCATAACCAAAGTCGATAAGTTTCGATTCAATTTTTTTTGGAATTGAATTGGACTCGTCATTCTCTATTCGAGAGATAACAAAATTTTCAGGTTTAATATCCAAATGAATGATATTGTCTAAAAATATGTGTATATATATAACTTAAATTATTTAGATTAGTAAGTAGGGTTGCCAAAATGGCCAGACTCGGACCGAAGGAGGGCCTAAGATATTTGGCCCGAAAGAGACTCGTATGGCCCGACTCGATAAAAATGAAGCCCAAAAAATGTTTCGACCGTCGACCCGACTCGAAAACGGCAACCCTACATATTAGTAAGGATATAACAGGAAGAAAGTATATTGAATATATAAAAGTTAAATTTGTGTATGGATACTTTGATGACATTCTTCAAGAGCTTTTGCTGCACCAATAACGACTTTTTTTATTAGATCATAATGATCATATGCTTCATTATTTATATTAATATTCCTCATATGAATTATATATTTAAGCAAATCCATCCCACCAAGCTCCATAACAATTGATACTTGATGGTTTTGTTGGTCAATCATACTTAAATGAGTGAAATAATTTTATGAATAAACTCATCAACTTATCCTATCATTATTTTTAAGATATAAATTTTAATAATGACAAAAGTTCGAACTTTTCAAATTCACGGATCCCTGTTGTGCACTTGCAGAAAGAACATAAATGAAAATAAATAACCCAGCA